CACACACACACACACACACACACACACAAGAGAGTGACACAGAGAGCGAACAGACTTTGGCATGTCCCGCTCCTTTAATGCCTCCTGACATTGAAACAAAGGAAGGCAGAGAGGTGCTGAACTGCCTCACATAAAAAAAAAAACACAGGAAAAGATAACCCCCCCTTAAAACCCACACACACTCACACAGGGGAGAAAGCTGGTGTCAAAAAGACACAGAGGCCAAAATGCTCTCAGGAATTTAGACTCAGTGTCCAACAGCGCATGTTCACGGAGAGCAACACTGAGAAGATTCACTTGTATTCATTTTCCAATAAAGGCGGCTGATATAATGTCGACCATTTTTTAATAATGAAAATAGTCTAAATGTCGACATTTGCAAATGTATTAACCACAATGGTGAACATCAAACGAAAGGTGGAGGAAGTTTAATTCTACTTTGAATGTTCACAGACCCAAATGGCTGAGACTCGAAAGGTTAAAGACTATCTTTACAATTAATAAGTCTGAATGAGTTGCTCATGTCTTGCTCAAAGTGTTTGAGCCAAGTGTTTGGTGACTTAGACTTAATCCTAACATGAACAATTATGCACAATGAATGTGTAATTAGCATTATTGATAAAACTGCAAATTATTTGATTTAGTCATTCGTTATTTGATCTGTGTAAAATAAATAATGAGCCAGCTATGTTGTCTTCAATAATCTGGTTTTGTTCGACCAACATTTTAAATAATATAAACTTTAAATGATTTAAAACAGAGAAGGGCTTTCATTTATCTATTATTGAAAGAGTTGCTATTTATTATTCTGTCAATTGACTAATCAATACATTGAATTGTCTCAGCTCCAGTTATAAGCGGTGGGTTTTTAAGATCACCAGCCCAGCTTCCTGTTTGAGAGACATCGGTTGAGGTCAAATCTATTCTGTTTAGTTAAATAAAGATATGAAGTTATGTCAGAGTTGAGTTATGTTGCCATCCATTGATGTTACTCAGAAACAGAAATGGGCTAGATTCCCCCGAACCCCTGTGGTCGTTTTTTTAGTTCAAGCTGAGAACAGAAACGGCAACCCTTCAAAGCTCAGGAAACTAAAGCAAACTGGAGCGATCTCATATGAACAGGAGAAGATTAATGAACATTTGGGGACATTTGTCTGCGGGGCTGACATCTGGCGCAGCTCCTTAGCGAGTTGAAACAGGCCCTGCTGTGGTGTTTGTCATCCTGACTGCTCATCCGTCATCATTAGTGAGCACTGAGGACCTGACAGGGCCTGATGCACTGGTATCTAAATAATTACTGAAGATAAATAGACTCAAGGTGCGCAATGAGGACATCCCGCAGTGGAGAAGATGTTTTGAACATAAAACATGTTGTGTTCAGCTCAGTGACACACGTGAATAGACTTCAGCAAACCAGTTTCTAAAGATGGATTGAGTCAATGTTGGGGCCACAAAGCAAAGTGTAATCGAAGAGTCTGGACGGAGACAATAGCAAAAAGTGTGTTTACTATTATTGCTGGAGTGTATCTAATGTATCTTTGCATTGGCTGTGAGACTGAGTGTGCCTTCAGCTCTTTTGAGAATACGTCCAGTGTCAGGAAACATCTGTCAAGTGGTTCACATTTAATCTTTTAACAACCTTTCCTTTCTTACAGCCATCCTTTCTTCTGATATTGCTTCAAATAACTGTTGCATAGCGTAATCGATTGATCATATGTTGATCCGTCCTTCTTTATATTCATTCGACTTGTATAATTGGTTTATAACTAAATGTGATTCCATGAGTTAACGACCAAATCACATCCGTGTGATTTTGAGGCCCATTTGCTTTCAATCTGTCAGAGCTGTTTCTGGTTGGACGTTGCTGTTTTCTGCACACGTCGCCGGGTCAGCTCTCGAATTGTTTGAAAGAGCTGTCAATCATGCAGAGTCATTCATAATGAAAACAAACATGATGATGTATAAATATGCACTCCCCGACTCACTCACTCACTCTCACAAAGCACACTGAGCGCATAAACAAACAAAAAGCAGGGTGAGAATGGGTACACAGAATCGAAAGGAATCTGACTCTTCCTGTGGAGAGAGCTCTATGATAACAAAACCAGGACCCTGATAAGAACTCTAACACACACACACACACACACACACACACACACACACACACACACACACACACACACACACACACACACACACACACACACACACACACACACACACACACACACACACAGCTGCTCTGTACCAGTGTGATGGCCAGCAGGATGGAGTACTCACACTGAATGCTGCCGGTCCCGGCCCAGGCGTAGGGGTCCAGGCCTGAGAAGTACGAGCTGGCCTTGCTGAGCATGCAGGACCCTTGTCCGGATACATCAAAGAGGGGCCGAGGGGCCAGCCCCAGAGCCTCCATGCAGTCAAACATGCTCCTCTCAAATCACAGCAAACACAACTATAGCCTGCTGCAGCCGAGCTGAGACAAAGTGAGCGTAGAGTCTGAGGCTTCCTGTGAGTGTAACTCTGCCTGCTCCAGGTGTTCCCTCTCTTTCTGTGAGTTGGTCTCTTGTTGCCCCCAGGCAGGACTGCGTGTCCTGTCCCAACCAAGTCCTCTGGAAGCACAGAATCCTCTCTTTCTCACCTCTTTTCTGCTCTACAACCCAAACTGATTCCACCCCCTCTCTTCCAGGATCACTTGCTTGCCTTCCTGCTTTCTCTTGACTGCTTTTTACTGATCTGAGCTCCCCTCTTGCCGGCTCTCTGGGCCTCTCTCACTCCACCACAGACTCAGCCAACTATCCACATGCTCTCTCAGCGCAGAGAAAGGAGGTGGGGTCGGGGGAGAAGGAGGGGGAGGGACACAGTGCCTGGGGGGGTGTGTAACTGCTTTCCAATTGGTCAGGCACCAAAGTTTCTCTCCTTCCCCCTTTCCTCCTTCAAGTTATCCAACTTGCTCCTCCATATTTCATATTCTGATAATGAAAACAAACACTCCTCACTTCCCCTCCCTTGACTCGTTCTTCTTTATTTGTCTGCATGAATTCCTCTTTTTGTTTTACCACAGCCGGGAGAATTGCCTCTCTTATAAACAGTACAGCTCTACCACATTTCTGCAAAAACTCCCGCCACACAGGTTTGTTTTGAGCAAATAGAGAAGGTGCTGAGAGAGAGGCAATTTAGTGAGTGTCATTTTCTAATTTCCTCGTAAATGGATTCTCTGGTGTGGTTTCTGTACGGACAGAAGGATTGCAGTGGTGACAGGGAAACACCTGTTGACACATACTCATTTTGGAAAGTTCCCCCAAATTAAAAGCATGGTATTGTGTTGCACTGCTCAGAGGTGGACGGAGTACTAGGATAATACTATTTCATTGTTATAAACTACTAAAACAAAAGTGTTCAAATACTTGGATACAAGTAAAAGCCCAGCCTTCCTGAATGTACTCAAGCTAAATTACAAAGTAAAAGCATCAGAATTTACTTGAAGTAATACAAGCGAAAATATTCATTCTGCACATTGGCCAATTTCCGAATAATAAGTTTACTGTTGGATAACAATCATTATAAATGTGTATATTAATTCAAAGTACCTGCTGCAAAGAAGGAGCTGATTATTTTTACTTTGTTTTTACAAAGTCTTTCTTACCCTATAACATAATAAATTAAACAATTATTGATGATTATATCTTGTATTACTTATCTGATTTTCTTTAAACTAACTTTAGAATAAAGTAACAGGAAATGGAAATCCTTGCAGTACTTGAGCATGTACTTGAGTAAATGTATACTGGACTTCTATTTATTATTTATTTAATATAAATACAATAAAACAGGACAAAAAACCCCCCTGAAAAACAAACAGGAAATCAAACAAAAGAATAATAATAGAGAATAATTCCTTATTTAGATGTTGTTATTCCCTGTATCTGGAATCACTTTATCAGAATCAGACAATATTTACACAAAATATAAATGTGTAAAACAGAGACAATGTTCAGAGTCAGTTATTCGATTTATGTTTCGTTGAATTTACAAGCAAATGTTTATTCACAAAAAAAACGTTCCTTTAAAACAACCGCCCACTTTAAACTCAAATGAATATTGATTCATATTTACATATATTAATATTACCTTATGCTTCATATATATGTTGAATTGCATGCTTGTTTGTTGACACATGTTTGGCAACTCCTGGCACCTAATTGGAATTTGTTCATGTTGTAAAGTCGAATTGAACACTATCAGTATTTTACCCATATTCTGCGATATTAAAAACCTTTTTCCAAGAAACATCCTCAAAACAATAATGGGAGGATTTACAGACCCTTGAAATACATTATAGTTGAACATGGTGTTGAACATGGCTTTGTATTTCTTACAGGGAGAGGACTTTACTCAAAAATGTAGTATTTCTGCCAGTTGGGTCTGAGCTTTTAAAGTTTAATGTTAAGCCTGAAGTCTGATCTGTTTCAGTCCCCACATCATTTCTACTTTTCCTTCTCAATGGTCATCCTTTTCCATGTCCCTACTGCAATTGTATTTGCCTCGTAAAGCTTCTCCTTCTCTTTCCATTTGTTTTTGGCATATGGGAGTATCTAACTCAATTCCTTCAATTCAGTTCAAAATTGATTCAGTTATCTTCCCTCCCGGAGCTTATTTGATAGTTCAGTCACACCGAAGTGGGACTCTGCTGCAGGCGAACCACACTGGCCCGGAGTCTGGATAGTTTGTATACGAGACAGCCTCACCCTCCTCCCTTTCCTTCCCTCGTTCAAGAGGGATGAACTCTAGAAGAAACCCCCACTGGGGCTCTAACACACACACAAACACACACACACACACACACACCCACCATTACAAAGAACAAGATGTGACTAGTACAGAAATTACGAAAGGACATTGTGTTCGTT